TACTGAAAAAAGTTGACGAAATGCCCCCCCCCCCCCCCCCTCCCCGCCACCACCACCAAATAGAATTTTCAAGTTTAAAGATTTTTTTTTAGCTTTCCTGGCTGATGTAAAATACGGTGCGTACTAAAGATATTTCTTTTATTTATTTAAAACTACTATTTCAAAATAAAATATTATAGCAGAAAAGAAGACCGGGGAGTTTTGAGTATGCCTGGGGTGTAGCCTGGTTCCGACTTCGCCTACCCATAACGCTCCTCACTCCTTTGCAAAGCCCCGTCCTTAGAATCACACACATGAGCAGTTACTATTTGTCGTGAAATAAAGTTTAGTTCAGTGGAAGGTCCTGAAAAACAACTCAATTTATAAGGGGTAACTAGTATCAAAATATTTAACATTTTTATGTCACTTAAACTGGAATTCAATTATCGAACAAATAACTTTAATAGGGTTATATTTTTTTCAGGCGAGAGAACAGTGACGTAGCATCGTTTCTGAAAATTCAAGCTACCTGGCTGAAAACAACTTGACAAGCAAAAAAAAAAAACAACAAGGAAATTGTCCAAACTTGAAAATACATAGGCGTCGGAACCGGGCAGGGGGGGGGCTTAGCCCCCACTTTTCTTTCCAAAGATAGACTTAGTATAGACATCCACCAAATGTTTTCCCATAGACTTCCATACAAACTTGAGCCCCTGTCACTCATACATATATTGAATTTTGGGCAAATGACCTTTTTGCCGTGAAAGTTCGAGATATTGGAAAACAAAACATGCCAGAAAAAATATACCGTCACGCGGCACTTTTACTTTCAATTTCCATTTGTTTACAACAAGGTGCGTTTGACACCAAATGAAAATCTCTAACCAAAGGGCACCCCTCCCTTCAAATTTTTACCTGTAACTCCTATATATCTCAAAGAATCCCAAGTCTTGCTATGAGATTTTTATCAACTTTATTTCACTAGTCAGATACATAACAAGTCTTTTCTCTTATTGACCAACCATGCGCCAGCTAGCATTTTCTCCTCCGCACAACTTTGGGTGTCCAAAATGTCTGCGCCCATGTATTTGTTTATGTAGGGGTTTTTCCTATAGAGTAAAAGAAACATTTATAAAAAGTGGTCAATTTAGTATATTTAGAACACATATCCATTGGTTATCTCACCTCTTGAAAATTGGGACTGTCAGTCCTAGCTTAAGTACACCATTGGCTGTTACATTTCACACCCCCGTCAATCAGACCCACATCTGTGAAACAGAAAAGATGTCTATAAATTGAAGCATTTTTCTATTTTTCTTTCAAACTTTTGAAATAAAATGATTAATCTAGCATATGTTTTGCTTGTTTTTCTTATTATCTCTAAAAAATTCTCAAGATAGGTCATGTTTATCATTCAGGGTAGCAGGTACCCGTTATTAATGAAAAATGAAGAAAATCAGCAGTTTTTTGTATGAAAATACTGAGTTATGGAAAGAGGGAAAACTAATGTAGATAAAATAATCAATGGAAAGAAAGAGAATTATATCTAGTTCAAATGTACATAAGATTACTTGGAATTTTATCAGCAACGGGTTGCTGGCATCAGAGAATCAAATACATCCCCACTGAAAATTTTGTAATTTTGAAGGGGGTGACCTACATTTTAGCCAATTTCCATGAACATTTTATGTAATTGGTGTTAAATATGTATATTCTCATAAAAGGCAAACATATTTATTTGCATATCATTTATTATTATTGACATAATTAATAAATTGATTAAATGCCAAGGGCAGATAAATCATATTGTCCGACTGAATACTGCTCAATTGTAAGCAAAGTGCTTAAATAACTGCAGTTCTGAAGAAATTTATTTTCTAATAATCTATAAAAAGTTCTAAATAAATTAATTATTAAGAGATTAACTAGATTTTCTAAGAAAACCATACCTTGGAACTCTTAATGGAAGCAAAGGGATCATCCTCAGAGTGTCCATGTGTTGTTCATTGTAAGGGGGGAGGGTTCATTAATCTCCTCCATCTTAAGAATGCATTGCTGAAATACATTTTATTTTATTAAAACATACTGATAAATGCATGTAGTAGCTTATATTGTATTTTTTTATTATTTACATCATCTTTTGAATTTTTTTATAAGCATTTGTGCTGAAATAGCTTTAAACTAATCATGTTTAAATACAATTTACTCAGATAATTATTTAAAAAGTATCTAAGAAATTGGAAAAATAACTGCAGATAAGAATGACTCTTAGTTGTTCAAATAAACCACATTTAAAAAAAATCCTTCATTTTCAAGCATCATTAGAGTACAAAATTACCCCCCCCCCTTCTTTTCTGCAGAAATCAAGATTAGATATGGCAAGGAGGAGGGATATTCAGACACTTTTTTCATCATTTTTTCAATAATAATTTTGCAAATTTCTTGTTTTTTCAATGTATTTTCTGCTAAAATATATTTTACAGTATTTTAATTTAAATTTCCTACTAGTAATCTCTAAGTTTCACCAAAAGTATAACTTTTATATCAAGCCAGCACTGATTACATGACTAAAATTGGCTTTGCTGCTGGATTAGGCCCCTTGTTTAAAATCAAAGTAACCTAATTATTTAACAGAAGTCTAATTTTGTTATAAGTTATACAATCAACTCTGATTAACACAAATTTGAAAGAGGATTAGTCAGTCTATTCCAATGTCTGCACTCATAAAATACATGAATTTAAATGAATTTCTCAAACTGCGAGGGGGATATTCATATGTTTTGTGAATTGATGATGCCCATAAATATCAATATTGTATCATTTACAATATTCACAGTAAATTTCAGCATAAATTTTAATTTAAAACTATTTACATCTACATTTATTGAAAAAATGAGAGCTAGAGCAAAAATTTTGGCATTTTTTCACCATGTGCAGTCCCCATTGTGAGCCCCAATTTACCCAAACCCTCTAATTTTTAAACAAATAGTAAAAACTAACTAAAATATGTTCTCATTGCCAAAAAAATAGGAACTGATTGATTATTTGGCTGTAATCAATGTTTATCCATGAAATAATACCTATTCTATAGGACAAACACCACCAAATGTTTTCCCATAGACTTCCATACAAACTTGAGCCCCTGTCACTCATACATATATTGAATTTTGGGCAAATGACCTTTTTGCCGTGAAAGTTCGAGATATTGGAAAACAAAACATGCCAGAAAAAATATACCGTCACGCGGCACTTTTACTTTCAATTTCCATTTGTTTACAACAAGGTGCGTTTGACACCAAATGAAAATCTCTAACCAAAGGGCACCCCTCCCTTCAAATTTTTACCTGTAACTCCTATATATCTCAAAGAATCCCAAGTCTTGCTATGAGATTTTTATCAACTTTATTTCACTAGTCAGATACATAACAAGTCTTTTCTCTTATTGACCAACCATGCGCCAGCTAGCATTTTCTCCTCCGCACAACTTTGGGTGTCCAAAATGTCTGCGCCCATGTATTTGTTTATGTAGGGGTTTTTCCTATAGAGTAAAAGAAACATTTATAAAAAGTGGTCAATTTAGTATATTTAGAACACATATCCATTGGTTATCTCACCTCTTGAAAATTGGGACTGTCAGTCCTAGCTTAAGTACACCATTGGCTGTTACATTTCACACCCCCGTCAATCAGACCCACATCTGTGAAACAGAAAAGATGTCTATAAATTGAAGCATTTTTCTATTTTTCTTTCAAACTTTTGAAATAAAATGATTAATCTAGCATATGTTTTGCTTGTTTTTCTTATTATCTCTAAAAAATTCTCAAGATAGGTCATGTTTATCATTCAGGGTAGCAGGTACCCGTTATTAATGAAAAATGAAGAAAATCAGCAGTTTTTTGTATGAAAATACTGAGTTATGGAAAGAGGGAAAACTAATGTAGATAAAATAATCAATGGAAAGAAAGAGAATTATATCTAGTTCAAATGTACATAAGATTACTTGGAATTTTATCAGCAACGGGTTGCTGGCATCAGAGAATCAAATACATCCCCACTGAAAATTTTGTAATTTTGAAGGGGGTGACCTACATTTTAGCCAATTTCCATGAACATTTTATGTAATTGGTGTTAAATATGTATATTCTCATAAAAGGCAAACATATTTATTTGCATATCATTTATTATTATTGACATAATTAATAAATTGATTAAATGCCAAGGGCAGATAAATCATATTGTCCGACTGAATACTGCTCAATTGTAAGCAAAGTGCTTAAATAACTGCAGTTCTGAAGAAATTTATTTTCTAATAATCTATAAAAAGTTCTAAATAAATTAATTATTAAGAGATTAACTAGATTTTCTAAGAAAACCATACCTTGGAACTCTTAATGGAAGCAAAGGGATCATCCTCAGAGTGTCCATGTGTTGTTCATTGTAAGGGGGGAGGGTTCATTAATCTCCTCCATCTTAAGAATGCATTGCTGAAATACATTTTATTTTATTAAAACATACTGATAAATGCATGTAGTAGCTTATATTGTATTTTTTTATTATTTACATCATCTTTTGAATTTTTTTATAAGCATTTGTGCTGAAATAGCTTTAAACTAATCATGTTTAAATACAATTTACTCAGATAATTATTTAAAAAGTATCTAAGAAATTGGAAAAATAACTGCAGATAAGAATGACTCTTAGTTGTTCAAATAAACCACATTTAAAAAAAATCCTTCATTTTCAAGCATCATTAGAGTACAAAATTACCCCCCCCCCCCCTTCTTTTCTGCAGAAATCAAGATTAGATATGGCAAGGAGGAGGGATATTCAGACACTTTTTTCATCATTTTTTCAATAATAATTTTGCAAATTTCTTGTTTTTTCAATGTATTTTCTGCTAAAATATATTTTACAGTATTTTAATTTAAATTTCCTACTAGTAATCTCTAAGTTTCACCAAAAGTATAACTTTTATATCAAGCCAGCACTGATTACATGACTAAAATTGGCTTTGCTGCTGGATTAGGCCCCTTGTTTAAAATCAAAGTAACCTAATTATTTAACAGAAGTCTAATTTTGTTATAAGTTATACAATCAACTCTGATTAACACAAATTTGAAAGAGGATTAGTCAGTCTATTCCAATGTCTGCACTCATAAAATACATGAATTTAAATGAATTTCTCAAACTGCGAGGGGGATATTCATATGTTTTGTGAATTGATGATGCCCATAAATATCAATATTGTATCATTTACAATATTCACAGTAAATTTCAGCATAAATTTTAATTTAAAACTATTTACATCTACATTTATTGAAAAAATGAGAGCTAGAGCAAAAATTTTGGCATTTTTTCACCATGTGTCAGGAGGAACTCTTGTGTTTACAGGATCTTGTCCTTATCGGTACTGTTCTGTAGTATCATTCTTCCTAGGCATACTCTGAATACACATTATGTTCATTTAATTTAAACTGAATATCCCCATTGTGAGCCCCAATTTACCCAAACCCTCTAATTTTTAAACAAATAGTAAAAACTAACTAAAATATGTTCTCATTGCCAAAAAAATAGGAACTGATTGATTATTTGGCTGTAATCAATGTTTATCCATGAAATAATACCTATTCTATAGGACAAACACCACCAAATGTTTTCCCATAGACTTCCATACAAACTTGAGCCCCTGTCACTCATACATATATTGAATTTTGGGCAAATGACCTTTTTGCCGTGAAAGTTCGAGATATTGGAAAACAAAACATGCCAGAAAAAATATACCGTCACGCGGCACTTTTACTTTCAATTTCCATTTGTTTACAACAAGGTGCGTTTGACACC